GCGGCCTCCCGCAGGAGGAAGGCAGAAGCAGGAGGGCCCCGGACATGGGGGGCTCGAGAGCACATTCTCTGGAGGCCAAGAGGCCCGGGCTCCAGTCCCGGAGCCACACTCTGCTCCCGAGATTCAGTTTCCTCATCTGTAACAGGAGGGGAGCGTAGTTCCGATGCCTTCAGGTCGCTATGGCGATTAAAGGGATAATGTTTGTCGGGGGCTTAACTCTGGCTTAATGCTTGCCAGAGAGCGGGCAGTTATTAAATGGTAGTGATGTTGGGAGGACGAGTATCCAGTAAAAGCACATCAACACTAACAAGGAGAACAGGAAGAGTAGCTCCTGGCCGGGCGGCGTGGCTCCGTGGTTGAGCGTCAACCTATGAACCAGGAGGTCACGGTTCGATTCCCGGTCAGGGCACATGCCTGGGTTGTGGGCTCGATCCCCAGTGTGGGACGTGCAGGAGGCAGCCGATCCATGATTCTCTCTCATCACTGATGTTTCTCTCTCTCTTCCTCTCCCTTCCTCTCAGAAGTCAATAAAAATATATTTTAAAAAATAACAGAATAGCCCCTAACACGTTTACCCTATTTGACACTCACAGGTACTATCTATAAGGCAGACAGATTATAGTCCCATGTGACAGATGAGGAAATGGAAGCACAGAGAGGCTGAGTCACTTGCTCAAGGCCACACAGCTAGAAAGTGGTGGAGCTGGGACTCAAACCCAGACGGCCTGGCTCCAGAATCGGCATTCGTCACCTTCGCCCACCTCGGCCTGGCTGTGAGGCATGTTCGAAGGTCGCCGATTCTGTCAGGAAAGAGGAGAGAGACTGTCCCCCTTTTTTGGGTAACGCAGCTGCGCCTCAGAGAGGCACGGTGACTTGCCCGAGGCCACACAGCTCGCCCACGTGGCCAGCGTGGGGGTGATCTGGGCCATGTCCCTCCCCACGTCCCCAGGGATGTGACCAATCCCCTGGGACAGCTTCACTCACACTGGGGTCCTCCCAATCCCTGAGCACTGAACCCCAGGATCCATTACAAAAACAAAGAGTGTCTACAGTAGCCACAGAAACACACACGCACAT